CATGCACTGCTATACCATTTTTACGTAGAAATCAAAAACCAACAGACCTTTACGTATGTAATGCTGTGCGTTGGGTAACCGCTTACACGCGAAGCTCTTTTAACAGATTCCTTATGTGACAACTCTCAAGCAATGCCAAGTATGCATAACAGAGCCTTTAGGCTTTTGCGCTTTTCATATATTTGTGTTGGCGCAGCGTAGTGTTACCTATATCTGAAACTTGGTATTTGCTATATCAGACACTGCACTACCAGCGCCAATATACTGCCTTGTCGACTGCGTTCAATGTTTGACATACGCGATATGCCGCCGTCAATTAAAACAAATTTGTCGCCGGAATTCTCTATAGCTGTCACCAGAAAAATAAACAAAAACGAACTCAAGTCTGATTTCATTCAATTAAGCTAGTTTTTTGGGTTTCGTCGGATTCATTTTCGGACATGGAGCCTTTGCAGATTAATAGTGGTGAGGATTTTGTCAAGGTCAACATATCCAATTCTAAAAATAATGGCATTGCATTGGACCTGAAATTTGCTAAAAGCCTTTCGGTGGGACAACTGAAGGTATGTTTTGTAGCAATTTAGATTTTGCTTACACCCACATAATTGCTGTGAATCATTTGTTAAAAATTTCTCTTCCGAAAAGTGCAAATTGGAAATCATCACAGGCGGCAATGCAGCTACTATGCAACTGGAGTTGTATAATGGTGAACGGTTGGTCACAAAACTGCATGACGACGCCACCTTGCTGGGCGCGTTGCCAATAGAAACGGGTATGCGCATACATGTAATTGATAACTTCAACTGGATAACAGATGTGGAGAAATTCGAATTGACCAATGAACAATACGAAACCAAACCGGATACAGTGCGAAATTTTCTTAAGAAGAATCGCATGGGCAAGTATAATGAGGAAGAAGCGCGTCAGAAGGAGGAAAAATTGCAACGACAGAAACAGCTGGACCAAGAACGCGCCGACTTGTGTACCATTGGGGCGCGATGTCAGGTAGAGTACTAATGCACTGAATAATAAATTTCATTTAACTGATTCCTTTTAAAATGTCCAGGTAACAGTGCCAGGTAATCCATTGAGAAGAGGCACAATAAGATACAAGGGACCAATCGATGGCAAGAAATGCATATTTATTGGCGTGGAGTACGATGAGCCACTTGGCAAAAATAATGGAAGGTATGTACAAACATATGTTCATGTACTTGACAGTTCGAAATTTTATTTTTTATATAACTTGTACTTATTTGCAGTATCGAGGGTAGGAGTTACTTTAGTTGCGCACCAAACTATGGTGGTTTTGTGCTGCCAAATGCTGTAGAGGTGGGCGATTTCCCCCCAGAAGATGCGGGTCTCGATGATGATGAGATTTAAGCTGGGCGCACTTAAACTGTTGCCAGTCAGATGTATTTCCTCACTGTTCAGTTTGTATTAAGTCTAGTATTTATAATAAAAATGTGAAATTAGTTTAGCTATTTTTATTGCATACTTTGAATTTAAATGATATGAGATTTAAAATGACTCAAGGAAAGAGCATACAAAACATGCATACTTATATTTAGCATGTTTGTACATTTTAAAATAATTTTGAATAATTTAAATATTTTCGGCGTATATGGCGTGATGAAATAAAATTACGAAACAAATTAAAACCCAAACCAGAAAAATCACCTACAACACACCTTAATCGCCGAACCGTAATACCGTGGCGCCCTTTTAAATACGGGCACAGCTCGCGCACTCCCACTTTGTTTTTTTTTTTTTATATGGTACATTTCGTGCTGTCATTCGCGTCATGACTAAGCGCCGGCAAGGTGCGAGTGGGACGCGCTGGGCCACTTCATCGCACCCTACCAACGACAAAGCGAAATGTGCGATAAAGCTGTAATAACAGCAAGTTGCTGAAAGCATGTACACCAACCGGCTGTGTTGGTTTTCATGCTTCAGTCCATTCATAAACGCGGTAAGGTGCACAACCATTATATGGCTAATATCGCTTAGCAATTAGTAGCGCGGTTAAGTCTTGCCGGGTGCACTAACAATCAACAATCGAACACAGTATATGGTTTATTTACTTAGCTCTTTTTTTTGTTTATAGCAACTGTTGTTGTATTTTTAATTAGTTTTGTTAACACAAAAAAAAGAGCAATAAGCTGCCAAGTCAATACTGATAAGTAAATAAATGATATGCAATCAAGTGCAATTGACGGAAGTAAAAAAAGTTTGCGAGAATTTGTTGCCATCAAAAAAAGCTGCGTTGAACAAAGGGCGCCAGTGTGTGCAATAAAAATACAATACACAAAATCTTGTTTTCTAAATGAAATCGAATTCAAATAGCATTGTAAATTTACTTGTACTAAATTGCAAACATACATATGTATGTGTGTCTGTATGTGAAGTTAAATGTGGCGCTGTTGTTTTAGTTTTTTGTTTTATTTGACTGCAAAACAAGTGTGAATTTTATTTTAGTGCGAGAAATTTGTGTACAATACAATAATTGTTGCTTGCTTTGGAGAATGTATGTATGAATGTACTGGTATTTAGTACATCGTATGCATCTACAAACTTACATACATACGTACATATGCATGAAAATTTGACATGCTGCGAATTGAAATAATGCAATGCAGTTACGTCTGGCAGACTTTCCCAAAACTATTTATAAATCAAACGACTGTTTATATTTTCTGAATCATAAAAGCGGGCTATATGAAGATTTTGGAAACAGATAAATTAAGAAAAAAAAATAAACAAACATGCAAATAGCGCGTATATCACTAAACGTAATTTGCTAGTTTCGGGACATTGGTGGCAAGAAAATATTGCAAAAAATACTTAAGTCTAAAAATACATATGTATGTACATAAAAAAAAAAATAAAAACTAAGTTTTAGGGAAACCATAATAAAAATGTAAATAAAATATCAAAAGTGAAAATTTTATTTAAAAGCAGCATTAGTTTAAAATAACATTAGTTTAAAAAGTAAAAACTAACAAAAAAAAACGTCGCTTCACATAAAACGATCGAAAGTGCTAAAAAATGAAAAGCAACTCACTCATCCTAGCTATATTTATTACAACTCTTTGCCTGCAATACAGCCCTGGTAAGTATGGAATTATCTGATATTTTCGCTTTTGCGATAACACCTGCTGAATAATATTTGCAGTGCTATTGAATATTACTTTTACTAAGTGCTTAATGCAGCTGTATTTAAAAAATTTGATAGCAAATACTAAAATAACCTGAAATTGGAACATTGTATTTGTGTATTTACTTTGCTAGCCGATGCCCATTAAAATAAAAAAAAAATAAATAAAAATATCGACCTCCAATCTCAAAATAGCTTCTCATGATATTTCTGTAACTCAAAGTACATATTATCAATTCAAATGTGGGCTTATTATATAACCTTTTAAGTGAAAAAAATATATATATAGTGAAACGATTTTCAAAAAAAAGAGACCAAAAAACCTCTCGAGTTGCCCAATTCATTTACTCTGCATAGGTTGCTATTCATTTCAGAGCCAGTAAAAACCTCCGAAACTTTTTCATTTCATTGTGAACGTACTACCTTTTTCGATCACTAACAAAACCAAAATTATTTTTTTAACGTAAAAAAACTTCTAGTTAATTTTTAGATGCAAAAAAAACTACCCAAACCACGATTTTTCTTAACCAAACGCCAAATGCCACTAATCTCATAAGTTCTGCAACTATTCAACTATTTATATAAATCGATGACCTGCGCCTTGTTTTCGAAGTGGACCGTTACCCCCTTCCCAAAATTATTTCTACAAATCGATGACCAGCGCTTTGTTTGCGAGACCGAAACGATTATCTGGAGTACTCTGTTATTTTCTATTCCACTTTCGTTTTGCTATTCCATTCTCGTTTAAGTTATGGCTCAACAAATTAAAAATCGAAATAACAGCCATTCTGCTGCGTAGAATAGCTTTTACTTTGGTACGACACCGTCGAAACAGTTGTGCTTAACCACATCGCTTAATGGACCCATTCGACATTCGAGATAAAACCAGCAAACCAAGGAAAATTAAAAGGGGGTTGCTGTTGTTGTTGTTGTTGTTGTTGTTGTTGTTGTTGTTGTAACAGTATACAAACTCCCCTAAGAGGTTTTGGGAAGTGATGCTGGAGTGACAGTCCTTTCCGCGCTTCTGTTTAATTACGATATCTCAAAGCTCCCTCAGCCACCACAGAGGGTATCCATTATTTCTTATGGAATTGATGACTTGTGCTCGAAAGTAAACGGTTATCTCTCCGAACTTTCCCTCTTCTTCCCAGCAAGGAGGCAAACCCCCTTCCCCTCGAAATCCTCGGCAACCATTTTCCCCATCTGGACGAAAGGCGTCAGACCACAGCTGGAATTTCAGGTCGCTGACGAACAAATCCCGACCGTGAATAACCCGAAAATCCTCGGAATAACCTTCAACAGTCTGCCCTCTTTCTCGGCGCATACAACCGCAACTGTCGAGTACAGAGCCGGAACAAGGTCCTCAAGTCTAGCAGCACCTAGGGCAAAGACAAAGAAACGTTGTTGGCAACATACAAGGTCAGTCGGTTCGAAACTATGCAGCGCCTGCCCAAACACGACACTGCGGACCGCCACGGGATGCCTTCTGCCGTCGCCATAGCACCATCTACATGACGAGGCCCAAATGCTTCCCGTTACGGCGCATAACACAATGCTATGTAAGCAGTTCCTAGTAGGGTGCCACAGTCGTGGGCTCCCCAACAGACACCTGCTTGCTGCAGAGCCCTAGGCACTTCAGAAGGCATCTATACAAATTTATAAATTTTAAGTTATGTAGATATACAAAAGAAATCCGCCGGCTTAAATCTTTTAAGTAAAGGAAACAATTTGGATACAACAAAATTAAATTGTGCAAAAATTGAAAGATTTTAAAGGTTTAAAAATTTATTTTTTATTTATTATTTGTTAAATTTATCTTAACTCGTCTCATGGTCACGAAAATGAGGTAGATAAGATTTATAAAGCTTATATAAGCACCATTATCAATTCGGCTTGGTTATCTCCTAATTATTTATTTTTTTTTTCTTGCGTTGGTGATGAGCAATATTTTTACAATTAATTCGCCCATTTTTCGCAGCCTAAAATTAAGTTGTGATGTCAACAGAATAGCAGATAGAAAAATAGTTTACTACTTGCCAAGCATTGCTGACTTGATAATTTTTTAAAATAAACTAACTAATTTTATAAAAAAAATATATAAGTATAATTTTCAAGCACGTTTATGACAGAGTTGTGTAGTTAATAGCAGTTCAGTTCAATCAAGAATTTGCTCGAGAAAATAATTTTCATAATCGTATGCTTACATTTTTCACATCTGGAATGTGGAATTACGTGATTTTGCTGTTGAGATATACAATTTATTATTGTCAGCTTTGGTGCAGTTAAAATACTCACAATTGTATATACAATATGTATGTACATTAGGCTGGGCAAATTTTTATTTTAATAAATCTATAAATAAATTCTAATAAAAAGTATAGAAGAAACCAAAGGTTGGAAATAAGTTTCGAGCCTGGCCAATTTTTAAATGAACAAATTACATTTTCACGATAAAAGTAAAAAGTAACGGTTTTTTTAACAAAAAAAAACTCGAAAGGAAGACATCTAGGACTTCACCGTTAATTTTTGCCGTTTTTTGCTGTCGGTGTCTCTTGCATACAAAGACGATTTTTTATTATTTATTTTCTATTTTTTTTCAACAAAAAAATGCCAAATATCGACGGTAAGTCTTAGCTACTAGTACTTTATTTTAATAAAATTGAATGGACCACGAAACTGTATATTCAAAATCTTTCTAAAAAATCCATTTAAAAAGCTTTACATTTTTACTATAATTAAATGACAACAAAATAGATTGTTAGAACTTGTCAATATGTGGTGCGTTTATAATTTTGACACAGATTTTGGATTGGTAAATATGGTAAATCAATTAAATTGTTATAAACTAAAATATAGGCATATTGTATCCATTAGTTGTAACAAAAAGGTGAACACTTTGTAAAACCGGCATAGAACGAAAAAAATAAAATCTTGATAAAAAGTAAATTTTTCTTTTAAAAATGCGCAGGCTAGATACTCATTTCCGACCAATAGTTTCTTTTACATTTTCTCTTAGAATTTTCTATAGAAACAGGAAATACTATGCGATGCGTCGAAAAATTTTCGTCCGAACAATTTGACCCAGCCTGATGTATGTACATACATATATGTATGTATAGAAATGTTCATATCACATACTCGTACATACCTAGTACATACGCACGCATGTGCACAATTTTTTGTGAATACTTGTGATTCGTTGCTACAACAAATACCTTAGTTTGATATGATAAGATAAGATAGCAATATTTTGCCCACAGGCCACCGAAAGTACGCGTATGTATATATAAAGCCCTAGAATTTATTATTTTGGACTGTACCACCTTACAAGCAAACAAAAGCTTGCCGTACATCCCTGCTCCAAAAATATTTTTTTTAAGACAACTTCGATTTTTTATTTTTGTTTTGGCGGAACCTAGACATTCGGCAATATATTTTTTTTTAAATAGTTCTAGAATAGTTGAAATACTTCCTTAGCAAATGTTTCAATGGTTTTTGGTGAGCTTTAATTTACTAGAATAATTGCAATACTTCCTTGGCAAAAGTTTATTGATTTTTGATGAGTTTCAATTTACTGACATTAGGGTGGTACGTTAGGATGATAAGAACTGAGATCTGATGGGTAAGTTCAAGAACGTGGTACTTGAGGTAAATAACCTTTGGAACAAAAAACATTCATCCCTATCGCCAATTTCATGTGAATAAATCTTTCCCATAATTTTACATATCTACAAAACGGAAATATATTGGGAAATTCTGTTTTGGTTTTACTTTATAATTCTTGGGAATATTTGTTCACGTGAAATTCGCGATAGGGCCGATTGTCTCCTCGAGATTAGAACATCGATATGTACATACATTAGAGTGGTTAAAAAAATTTTTTTTTTTGGAAATTTATTCAAACTTTTTAATCAGAATTTTAAGCAAAATTTTGGTATACTGAAGTGCCAATTTGAAGTAGTTATTGCTTCCTGTTGATTTTTAGCAATTCGTGTTTTTTTTTTGAAGATGTTGCTAATTCTCTTTATATGAAAAAAATTGGCGAACATACTTTCTATGGAAAAAATGCGCGCAGTACATCAACACTCCAGCTTGGATTATTAAGAAATATGACTGGAAGTTGCAATATCAGGCTTCCCTTTAAGTACGTGGAGGCACACTGTGGTTTTGTACCCTGACACCATTTAAGGCACCTCGCGACGGTAATGCGACGAACGCTAAGGAGGTTCTTCAGCGAAGATTTTATGATGTAAAATGTTTAACCTGTTTAAGATATTGGAGAGCCCAAGATGCATCCGCAGCCGTTGTTTTAGTGGAAGATCATTGGTTTCTTGGGAACGTTTTCCAGTGGTTAATCCGTTCGGAGTATCAACAAAAGTTAGGGAAAAGCATTTGCTATCTTAAAACGGCAACTATCTGCAACAAAGCTTCATAATGCAGTAGGATAAGTCGAAAATTATTACGAGCAGGTCAACAAAATTTTGGTTACATTGAAATAACATAACTGTCACAGACTGATTTGCTTGCTCACCTCATGCTAGTCCCATCGAGAATCTGTGGGGATGGATGGTGCAAAAAATGTATGAAAATTTTGCCATTGAAGCCCATTATAGTGTAAAATTTGGATTTAAAAACTCCAGAAATGCATTTAGTTTTTTTTTTTTAAGTAGGCTTGTGAGCATAAAATGGCAAAACAATATTTCTAAAAAGATCCTAAAAATTTGTAGAGAAAAAAATACCTACAGAAATGAAATAAAGTGAAGTTTTCGTTTAAAAAAATCAGCGAACCAAAACGGCAAAAAATTCTAAAAAATCAACAGTAAACTTCAGCGATTTGAAATTTACACTCGAAAAATTTCCAACAATTCTAGATAATAAGTTTGAAATTTTAATGATTTTTTTTTAAGTTTATTAATTTTTGTGAACTTTGCGCAAGCTTTTTAACTTTTATTTATGTGGTTGCTGTTATACATCGAACTATAATTTAATCGAAAATGATTACAAATAAATAACTAAACATAAGTGGCAAGCAACACCATTCTGAACTTTAGTGCTATTATTTTTACCGCAACTGTATGTATAAAGCTATGTATGCGCACAAGTTCACTTCTCCATTTAGTAAATATACGATAATACGATAATAAACTATCGCATGCTTGAATTTCATGACATAAACTGCTAAAAATAGTAAAGCCATTGCAGAAAACAAAATGGGAAAATGCCAACATAAAAAAAAAAACAACAAATAAACCGAATATTTTGTAAAACAAATTCATTGAAACATGTGCAGAATTCCCTTTGCGCACATAAACGATACAAAATTTACAATTACCAAGGGACAGACAGTGAAATATTTGTGCAGCAGCGGGTGATTGGACGAACTCCAAACGATCAATCTGTTGATGCGCGGGAGCGACAAAGTGATTTGTTTACAAATAATACACCCACAAATGTGCAAAGAAATGTACAACATTGGCACAATTGGATTAATAAAAAACACATGGTGTCCTTTTATCATCAGCATGTGATTTTTAAAACTAAACAAATACATTAAGACATAAAAAGTAATAATAAAAAACATCAGTCGCAAATTAATGAGATCATCAAAATATGTTCACTGATTTTCGAGACTATCGCTACGACTCATTACTTACTTATTTACTAGTCTTTAATTTACACCTACATATTAGGCGTGAATTATTGATTTACTATATTATAAATAATCGATATATGGGCTTACGAGCCATTATTGGATTTACCATGGGCAATTTCACAAAATATTCTATTAGAGTAGGTTGTAACACAAATTAATTAACATAAATACAACATACGAGCGCCAATGAATGAAAATTAAATGGCTTAGCAAAGTAGAGCAATGTGTTGTTGAAACGAAGCTCACGCACTTCCACTCGACCAAGACGAAGCGCGAACTACAATAATACGGCTTAAAAACAACAATACCCTTGGAGGCGGCAGCTGTTAGCAAAATTTGGTCTAATGAATACGCGCACGAGGATTGGAATTTGCTCAATCCACAAGGTAGACCCTGCTACATAGTTGCGGTTCTATTGATTATTTCCGTGCGAAACACTGAAGTTTGGGATTCCTTCATAACTAACACGGCCGTGTAGAGTGCTGTTGAGCACAACTTTAGCTCCATCTAAATTAAGAAAGACCTCTCCCCGCCGTTGGAGACCAAACGAAGTTTTAGACAAGCAGTTGCGTTTATGGGCGGGCGTGAGCAATCGCGGGTCCCATTATTTTCTCATATCCAAATATTTATGTATGTATGTGTCTAATATGTAATGTATCTCCTCAATAGAGAATCCTATTGCCTCCTCCAACGTATGCGTCCAATATCATTCATTCCAAGGATTTTATCGACATTTTCTAGTGCGCCTTCTTTAAGGTAACCCCTAAAATGACTTCAACAGTCTAGAAAAAAGAAGTCTGATGAGGAGGTGGGTGATCTCCGAAAAAGCTGCTATAAAAATATGTATTATAGTCTAGCACGGCAATGGAGCCCCAATAACATTTTTTATCAACCTTCAAAAATGTCAATTGAAATGGCGGTTTTTCGTCACAGAAACAGGGCCTTAGGCTTAAAGCCCGACGGGAAATGACACTTATTTTTATGAATAAATGTTACTTTGCCAGAAACAGAGAATGTTGGGGAAAAAAATTTAGTAGAACTGAAGGAATTAAAAAAAAAACATTTTTTTTTGAGTTTTGTTCGAAATTGCTACTGGAAACTTAATACGGACCTCGTTTACCTATTTTTATGGCATAGGGCTTTATCGATATTAGTTTAAAAGCTCATAAAGAAATGCATTGCTTATGCCCTATGATTCAGTATAGCGCAGGTCGTTAAGAAGAGTTGACGGGTGGGAGCCAGGAGAACGCTAAAAAAGCGCCGCGATTTTAAGTCTTGAAGGTACTCTAAGTATTTCCTCACCACGGTATATGCACATACGTTTTTCGGAATTTTTCCAGTGATTTATTAATCTGTCCACGTTCTGAAAGGCCAACTAGACTCACAAATGAGTTTCTAACATTCAAATAACACTTCAATTTCGGCGATTTGTCAAACATCACTTATTTTGCACATTTTCCTAGCTCTCACAGACTATGCAGGTGATTGAACTAAGTGCTAATTGAATGAATAATTCATGCCATTTACTTTTTCACAAATCACTTAACTTGCGCAGAAAAAAGTGTAAATGGAAATCTTAAATACTGTTATTTATTATTTTATTTTTATTTCAGCAGCGTCTGCTGAGGCTGCGGCGACAACCGACGGCGATACCGATTACGCAAGAGATGACTACTACTACGAAGATGATGCGGACGCGGATGAAAATGACGACGGCGGCGGCGAGGAAGGCGACGACTACGAAGACGAGGTGTCAAACGGGGAGGCTGCAGATATGAAACCAGCAGAGCTGAGAGCACAACCGCCCTACTTTGTAGAACCGGAAGTGGAAATCTACACACAACCCGCCCAAAGCTTGCTGATCGATTGTGCGGTACAGAATATACAAGGTAAGTGGAACTGGGAGCTGACATCCTCATAAGAGTCCCTAATGTTAACTGCTAAATTATTTACTATTTACTTCGAACAGCTAACAATGTGATTATGTGGTACAAAGATAAAATTGTAATCGCGACAGGACAATTCGTTATGTACCCCAATGTGGATGTGCTCAAGAATAACTCGCTGATCATTAAGAATGTCACAGTTAAGGATGCTGGCGATTACTATTGTGAAGTATTGCCCGAAAGGGTGCGCATGCATGCGCTGTTGGAGGTCGACGAAAGTTTGATGATATTCTGCGATGGACAAGAAGTGACTAACCGCAGCTTGGTATTTCGTCAAGGCGAGCCACATCATTGCGAATGCAAGTACTATTCACTGGAAAATGTGCAAATCAAGTGGTTTATAGATGTAAGTGCAACATTAGCATATACATACATACATACATACATACACATAAGTACTCGTACAATTTTCAAGCTCACTTCTTTGTTTATTATTACTCACACGAAAAGGGCAAGCGCGCCGAAACCGTGGTGGAGCGCGTCTTGGGCGAACAACTCTACATTGACAATGTGGACACCATACATGGCGGCATCTATCAGTGTTTAGCCGATGATCGTTCGCAAGAGCCACCGCATGCCATGATCATTGTTGAGGTTGTTTATGCGCCCAAAGTTTCCACTTATCGGCATTATGTCAATGCGGAGCAAGGTGGCGATGCTGAATTGTATTGTGATTATGCTGCAAATCCAGCTGCTGAAGCGAAGTGGCTGCGAAATGATAAAACGCTGGAGAAGTCAAGAAAATACGCCTTCAATCAGGTGACGCATAAAGGACGCAATCGCTCGATCTTAACGGTGATGAATGTGCGCGCCAACGATCTGGGCGAGTATACGTGTCGAGTGCAGGTAAGAAAGATGTGAAGTAAATTAAATGTGGATGTGGCAAATATTTTAATTAAAAACATAAAATAAAAAATTATAGAACACAATTGGATACGATGAGACAAAAGTGCATATCCTTTATGAACCAGAGCATCCACAGCTAGAGGATATGGAGATCAATGGTAGAACAGCAGTGATACACTGGTTAGTGCGTAGCATACAACCGCTTTCTGAGGCGATATTGGATTACAAGCTAGCGGGTGTAAGTACTGAGAAACGGTTAATGATATTATAATAAACTTGCGAAAAGAAAGAGAGGTATGACCCCAATAGTCTAATAACCAATTTCACGAAAACAATTTAAGTGCAATTTTTTTTCTTTTTATTTGTATTCAGGCCTCTTGTAAGTGTGAAAATTTCTACCTAAAATATATTTAGTTTATGCTCTTCCACTCCTTTTCTGAATCATGTCTTCATACGTCAGCGATTTGGTTTGCCTTCCGCTGATATCACGACTACAATGGAAGCTTCAGCAACATGCCCTAACACTGTTGGGGGAATTTTTATGCTATTACAACAACAACAACAACAACAACAACAGTAGCACTTAATGAGCCATGAAAAACACTAAAAAATTCACATTTTTTTTTTTTATAAATCCATCAGTTCTTCTTGCGTTCCGAGACATGAACGATTTTCACGATACTATACCACCAAAGTATTGAACTTAGAGGTGAAGATCAGCCCTATTAAATTTATAAAAATTTCGCATAATATGGCTGTATTAACATACCTGAAATTGGTTGTTTTAGTAAACCTTTTTTTTTGATATCAGCTGGCACCACTTTGTAAGCTTTGGATAGCTTTCATAAAATTTTTGGACGCTTTCTGGAACTAATTGCTATGAACTTTTGATTGCTTCATATCACACTTCTGAACTGCTCTCAATTTGTTGTCGTGACTCAACTGAACACTTCGGTGTTCGGTGCCGAAAATATATCTAGAAAAGCAGATATAAAAAATATAATCAATTATGCAAGTAAAGAACGTTAATAAAAACAGGAAAGAATAACACTAAAGTTGTGCTGCAAGCTGTCTACAAATCTAATGCTTTATTGCAGTTCTCAAATGGTTTGTGAAAGAAAAGTTTCATCTTCCTAATTAAACTAAACAAGTACCTGCGCGCTACGGTATCTATGATTCCTTGCTTAAACGATTACTCAGCCTGTTTAATTAAAAACTCGGCCAACAAATTTATTGCTAAATTTAGAGAGAACCGGTTAATTGGTTACTTTGGATAATTAAGCAAAAAAAACTTCGATGTCTTATGCCCAGTTTAGCAGGGGATGCTGTTCTTGTCAATAAGTGTTATGTTTAGAAAAAACCTCCGATTCATTGGCCAACAGCTTTAGGAAACTAGTAGCTTATTTGGTTGGCGATTTTCCTTGGAATTCCAGGGGAAAAGTGTCACTTGCAATTTTCATCACATATCGTCGGCTGGGTAAAAGATTGTTGTATGTTACGCACGTACGTATGACGCTTACGACAATCTTTTACCCAGTCGACGATATGTATTGAGGAAGATAGATACCCAACTGCTATCCGCCACCAAAGAACCCAGACCCAGCTAACCTATTTATTTAATTGATTTACAAATTTTAATTTTTGCAATATTAAATATTAAGTAGAATTTTCTTAAACGCTGTCGCCTACAGGTAGTCTCATATATACATCTACATATGTATATACAACATATTTCTATATCTAACCGCGCACATTTTTCTCGATTATGTAAATGCACTTGAAGCACCTACCACCAACCCAACTATTCAACCATTTACTTGATTGCGCCACTTCCGAGTCGCGCTGTGCGATATCTACTTATTCGTAATCGCCAGCTGAGATATTTGAGGAAGACTTAAACTTTATCGCTATTTACATATTTACGCAACTACAATGTGGTTGGATAGTTTTTTTTTTTATAACTGCATTTTTATACATAGTACATATATTTTCATTCTACTACATACATATAGTCATACACATGGAGCAAGGTATCTGTGGTGCATACACACCGTCATGCGGATAGTAGCATTTGGAAGGTGACTCATGAAATGGAACTCACACCGGGAAGCTGGCACGTGCGTATGAGAGCGAAAAATACAATTGGTTGGTCGGCATTTTCCGCACAACATGATTTCGTAATCAAAGATGATGATGAGAATTATGGTGATATTGTTGATGCAGGTGGGTACGCATATATAGTGCTTATCACAATAATACGACAACCACACATTGCCAAGCTTCGCTATTAATTTTTTATTATTTAATTAAAATTTTTCACAAAAATATAGCTAATTATATAACAAAAAAACATATTCATTTTTTTTACAAAATTTCAAAAACAAGTACTTTTTAGCAAAAAAACCGACTTCAATTCTCATATGAAATAAAAATATATATATATATCTCATGATCCACTGATCGGATCTTAACCAGATTAGTATGGGACCACCTCTGAGACACTACCTTTCCGATGCAAAATTATCGAAATCGGTTGACGTGGTCCAAAGTTACTGCGATAACCTACATAAAAAAAAAAATAAAAATAAATAAAAAAAAGATAAAAAAAATATTCCAACGAACTGATAACCTCCTCCTTTTTTGGAAGTCGGTTAAAAATCAACAAAGTTTCATCAAAATTTCACACTTTTCATTCAAAAATTTTAGAAAACCTTGTTGGGCAGTTTCATAGCCCATTCAATTAGTATAATAAAGTGCACGTTGGAAGTAGCTATAAAATACCGTTGAGTTTTGGCAATTTAATTTATTTTTTTTTATCGCGTTGTGCATTTTGCTCCATTAAAAAAAAAACGTTGAACATACTGGGTATGGAAGAAAATAAGTGACACCGTCAACAATAAAATTGCCAAAAATCAACGGTGTTTTATAGCCACTTCAAACGTGCACTTTATTATACTAATTACCCAAAAATTTTCTAAAAATTTGGAATAAAAAGTATGAAATTTTGATGAAAATTTGTTAAATGTTTTTTAACCCTTAACTACTGTGCTTAAAAAAGACTCGAAACTACTGATGTTGGTCTGTGAGACCACACAAATTTTATTGTTAATATATATATGTAGATCATTTTACTAAAAATTGTTTTTAGTGAAATTATTACCCTTTTGACTTTACAAAAAAATAAAAGCTTCCAACTTTTCTTTTGAATTCACCCAAATTTATTTAAATTGTATTATCAATATTTTCACACCATATATTAAGAAAAAACAACAAAGTAGCAAAAAATTGATTCCTATATTTAAAACGAAAAATACTGTTTCAAAATAAAAATAAAAAATAAATTAAATAAAATATCTGGCAAATTCCACAATGTCTAGAAACTAGTAAGGCATTTTCTTGTCTTTTCCTACGCATACCGTGTAAAATCAAGAAACAAATATGTTAAAAAAACAACTATAAATTTTCTTTGAAGTTATAGAAATTATTACAAATATAAGTACTGATATGGTTTGATAGGAGAAATTAAAAAACAATCGAAAAACAGTTATGTACGTCAATGCTGATGTTGGACTCGCAAGTAATTAAAATGCGATTCCTACGGCACTTGTCACCGCACACGTTTGCTCGCTACCGGAATTAACTCATTGCTGACTCGGTAAAAGCTATTCGTAATATGACATTTTTTTGCGCATAAGCAAAACCATTATTTTAATCAAAAAATTTTGTCATGGTCTGATAGACCAACAACAGTACTTAGAGTTAATTTTTGTAAAGCGTTTGAACATAATAGAAATTAAATAATAAAAAAACTAATTACTCAAAACTATGTGTCGCATAGTTATGATAAGCACTATACATACATATATCTGCATATCTATGTAAGTAGATATGCTTGTAGCTGATAACAACTATCAGCTACAGCTTCTTCGCATATAACTTTTCACTCTATCAACCTCTCTCTCTCTCCCGCAGATGATTTGGATACCGCCGATGCGCCGGGTAATATGATAGCGGTGGCAAGTTTTGGTGGCAGCTCAAAGAGTACGAACAGCAGTGGTGTAGTGCGCAGTATTTCACACACAATGATTGCCGTCAGTGGCGCTTGCATGCTTTTTATGTTCCAAGTTGGGTGTTAGACTATACAAAAATTTTGTAAATATTTATGTTTATGCGCATAAAAAAGTATTTTAATTTACGCTATATAAAATATTTATTAATTCAACTACATATGTGAATGTTGTAAAAAGATCCTATATTTATATGTATATAAGCGATACAATGGTGCCAAACATAGAACTATTGAAAGAAATGTATTTGTATAACGAGTCAGAAACATATATTTTAAATAGGCCATAGTAAAATAGAGTTTATTCAAAAAAAAAATACGTGTACACTAGACCGTACCACACCTTACAAGCAAACAACACAAAAAGGTCGCCATACATCCCTGAGTGTAAAGTATTTTTGAAAGGCAATTGCGAAATTTTTGTCGGCGAACGAAGATGTCGCCTTTTTACATTTTTCGATACCTAAAATTTTTCAATATTGATAAGTCACTCAGGTCTAGTGGATAGGCACTAGGACGGAGTACTTTAGGTCAATGAACTTTGGTACAAAAAAAATTTTTCTTTGACGAAAAATGTAAAAAGAGGACCCCACCGTTCCGCCAAAAAAAAAATGATTTCTGTTTGTAATTGACTTGCAAAAATACTTTTTAGACTCAAATGTGTACTGCGAACTTTTTTGGTAGGGTGACCCTACTAGGGTCTAATGTACATACATACATACATATTATGTATAAGTGACTGTGCCGTAAAAGAGTGCCAAAATATGTTATAACTTATAAGCATATATATATAAATACAAATTAAAACATCGGCTAAGGCCATTGAAAATGTCCATAATTACGTTTCTTACGGATGTATGCATTAAGCAGGGTTTACAATGTTAGCTTGTAGTTGAAAGTGCTTTTTTCAATTTTTTCTATTTCATTTGTACATGAACTTCTAAAATGAAGACAATTTTAAGAGAAGCGCTCTACCCTCCCTTAAAGTATTTTTTAGGAGAGTTGGCATCAAAACTTCAAAGTGTTAAGAAGATTCACGAAAAAAACATATCAAACATATTCACTACAACAAAAAATTCTGTGCAATTACAAATTGTTATTAGTGTAAGTAGTTTTAGTTGAAAGTTTAGGGACTTAAACAAAGTTCCTAGTATCTATGCAAAAGAATAAATGTTTGTGTACATGTATTAATGTATGTAATTTCGAAAACAACATTTTTTAAACTTCCAACTTGTGGCCAGTACAATAAATTTTCTTAATTTTGTTTAAGTACCTACTGAAATATTGTAGGCACGAGGGAAGGTCGAAAAGTTCTTAGCCTAAGTACCTTTAAGTGTCATTAATGTCTTGAACTGCGTGTCGCTAATTGCTAATATCCTTGGTAGTATAAAGACCGTATTTCATGTCATTAAAATCATTGCGCATTCAGTAATTGAGCGTAAACATCACCATGTCTGAGTCATCTACAGAGCAGAGCTGTCAACAAATTCCTCAAAAAGAAGAACAAAACGCTGACGGAAATATTTTGAAGAGATGTTTACAGTGTATGGGGAGTCTGGCAGAGACCAAAAGTGCGACAAGTGGTTGTCGAGAAACGGAGAGAAATAAGTCCTGAAGACCGTGCACACTGCGCGAGTTGCAAGGCGCGCTCTGGACGAGACTGGATTTGAAGAAATCAACCACCCACCACACAGTGCAGACCTGGCCCCCAGCGATTTGATGAAAAACCTTCGAGGGCGAAAATTTTCGAGTGAAGGAGGAATGAAGGTGGCGGCAGTAGACGAGCATTTTGAAGACAAAGGCGGAGAATATTTTTTTACAGGGTTCAAAGCCCTTTATTATAAATGTAAGAAATGCATTGAAGTGAAGGGAGATTATACTATAGAAAAATAAAATTTTTATAAATTTTTTCAGTTACTTTAATACCTTATGTGCTATTTGCAGCTCTCAAGAAAAACGCAAAATGCATTTCATGCTATCAAAATTTCTTAAATCAGTTCGCAGCTCTCAAGAACAAAATGCACATGCATATATTATATATTTTTCTTCAAGAAAATTTTGAGCAAAATCAAAGGTTTTTTTTCAAGTAACAGAAACAGCCCTTTAGGCTTACACTTTTTCAGCCTCCCCTCGTATTTCCCAAACTTAAATTTCCGTTTCGTGCTACACGTGTTTTTCTTTTTGTGCCAATTGCAGTCATAAGACAAAATTCGTGAAAGGAATGCAAGGTTATGACGAAGAGTGCATATAATATGTGCATTAGGGTGGTAAAAAGAAGTGAAGTCGGAATTTGAATGTTCTCACCGCCTAGGACTTTTTTATACCGAGAAAAATATGCCCCTGTTTATGTTTTAGTTTGAAATCAAAACATATTTAGAGGTCGCTCAAAGCGCTCAATGTTTTCCGTGTATTTATATGGGTGGAAAACACAATTTTTTGTAGAAATGGTATCGAATTTTTGAAAATCAATATTTTTCTATCGAAAAACTCTGTTTCTCTTCAGGGGACTTCAAATAAAAAATACCCAATTGTTTATTCAACCATTTCTTAAGAGTAACTATATTTTATGGGCCAACAAATTGCACATATTTTCAATAATATGTAATTATATCTAGATCAAGCCCATTTGAATTGGGACCTAATTTAGAAAATCTTTTCGGTTAAACTAGCTTTCGTTATCCCAAAAATCAACTGTCGTTTGAAAGCGGCATAGTTAGACGCCATAAATTGGGAGACAAATTTTATCAAGACAAAATATTGAACATATATTTTGATTTTCGCTGAAATAAACAATAAGTATGTAATTTTTTCTGCCCTGCCTTTATTGTTTTAAGTCTGGGAAAAAATACTCACACGATACATTTTAAATGAAAATCGCCAGAAATACGATTTGGTCACGTTTTTTGAGGCAACAACAACGTCAAGTGATTTATGGATATTCATACGTACATACATACATATGTACATTAGACTGCATCACTCCCAATAAAAAAAAAAATCGGTACTATTTTTCCATTGGAATTATAAAATCTATTATATTTTAAGACGTCCACGAAAATATTTCGAAAAAATGTTAAGATTTATGTGAGCTGGACCAATTTCAAAATACCTCCAAAAATGGAGTTTTTTATGAATAAATTTAGTTTCTTAAAATTTTTTTTTTTAAATCCCCTCAAATGACAAAACGGTTTAAGCATAAAAAATTTGCATAAAAATATTTTAAAAAAATTAAAAAAAAAATTGAACGGAATCGCAATGATGAGATTTTTGATGCTGTTTTTTAACTTTTTTCAAAGATTGGTATAAGAAAAACTTGAATAACTGAGCCTAAACTCTTCTGATTTAGACTTAAGAGGTGTCGGTGGAAAGGTATTTTCTCACCCTTTTTATTTCTTTGCTTATAAACTCATTCAAAGGATGAAAGAGAAAGGTAAGATCAACGAACGTCATTCAAAGTTGAATTAAGAGGTGTTGGTATTTGAAAAAAAAAAATTGGGACACGAATGATTTTTTTTGGACAGAAATAAAATCAATGTGAAAATACCTTTATACTGAGATCCCATAAGTCTAAATCAGAATAGTTTTGGCCCAGTTATTCAAGTTTTTCGTAAATCAATCTTTGAAAAAAGTAAAAAAAACAGCATAAAAAATGTCATTCTTACGATTCCGTTGAAAAGATTTTTAAATATTTTTATGCAAATAATTTTGGTGAACGTCTTAGAATATAACAAATTTTATAATCCCAGCGGAAAAACCGCAACCTTTTTTGGTGATGCAGTCTAATGTACATATGTATGCATAACATGTATATAGATATACATACATACATCAGCGAACAAAAAAAAAATTTCGTGTAACCCATTGAGTCTGCAATATTTTTACAAAGCAATTCAAAAAAAAATCCTTTTTCTTGGCTGAATCTAAAGATATTATTTTTAAATTTTTCGGTGAGAACCACATTCGGCAAAAACATTTTTTAATTTACTAACATTAGGGTGGTACGTTAGGATGGTAGAAACTGAGGTCTGGTGGGTAAGTACCAGAAAGGGCTACTTGAGGTCAATAAAGTTTGGAACGAAAAACATTATCTTTTCGAGACAAATATATCGATATATCATACTTTAAGATGTCACTGTAAATGCCGAAGGTACGTCGAAAAATGTAAAAAGGCAACTCCCGCGCGATCAAAAAAAAAATCGATTTTCCGAAATTGCCTTGCAAAAAGATTTTAGAATCACAAGATGCAAAATTACTTTTTTTCATGCTTCATATTGTGCAAAATTTTGAAAACTTTAAACGCGTCTTGTGTTTTTTGAGTTATTAAGGTGGATTCATCGCTCTAGTTCTGAACTTTTTCTTCCAAAGCTAAAAACACAACAAGAACCACAAGTAAGAAAAATTCTGAACTAAAACGTCGAATCCGCCTTAACAGTCTTAAAGTAAATGAACGAAATATACATACATATATACATTGGTGGCAAAATAAATAGGTACGCGATACTTTTACAAAGCTTGCCTATTTTTCTTTCGTTTATTTAATTTTATTGTTTTTTCATACAAAAATGTTTCATTATCTGACAAAACCCATGTAAATTCATATTTCAAATTTCGTGCAAAAATTAAAATTTCTGCAAAATTTTCAACTTTTTAATCAGATTTTTCAGAATTTTTTTGAGTATGCAGTTATATAACCCACTAGATTGCATTGATTTCTGGCAATTTTTTCACGCATTTTCTTCCATACAAAGTATATTCGAAATTTTTTTTAAGGAAAAAATGCGTAATATAGCCAGAAACAATTATCAAATAATTCTAATAAAAGCTTGAAAATTTAGATACGTTTTGCAGAATTTTTATTATTTTGTACAAAGCTTGAAATTTTGATTTATGTATATGGTTTTTATTCGATGATGAGCTAGACTTTTATAAAAAAAAATACAAAACATAAAACAAAGAAAAGAAACAAGTCAAGACTTGTCTAAATATGGCGCGTTTATTATTTTGGCCATAGGTGTACTTTTAACCATAAATCTTTTTTGTTTTTGTTCTGTAATTACAAAAATACATTTACCTTCGGTACTTACAAAAACTTGCTCCACTTTATGAAAATAACTTCAAGTGCACAATTTGCCACTTCGAAAAAAATAAGTACATACAATACTATTTATTTTCCATTTTCGTAAATATGCCTTACACTTCAAAACTGCAGTGCGTGAATATACACACATACAACTATTCTACTTATACATTTTTCTCGATTTGCATTTTTCGCTTAAGTACACACAAATTTGCGTTGTCGGCTGTTTTTTTTTTATTTACGCTTTGCTTCATTTCAAGTACAATTTATAATCAAAATGTTTTTTCAAAGGCATTTTTTTTTGTTTTGGTGCTGCTGCTGCGTTTTGGCTGCAGTTGCTGCTGCTAAAGAAGCTGCTAACATTTCCATTACAATTCAATTTTCTTTCATTTCGTTTTCCTTTATTTGTTACTATTTATATTTTTTTTATAAGTTTTAATAATAAATTCTTTCAGCTATTAACAAGCATAGCTATAACTACAATACATACAATTTTCAATACAATCCACCTACATACACAACTTTCAATATCCTAAATAAAAATTTGTACTCATGACAGCGTAAACAAGCAGTTATAATAGATTTTAATGGATACATATTTTTTTAAGTAATTATATAGGTGTATGCAAAAGGCAGGGGTATGTATTTATGAATATTTTTGTAATATTTTTTTTTTTTAAATCTATTTTTATTTATAAACTTGTACATGTATGTATTAAAAAATAGCTCAAATAGCTTTTTTAGTTAGACACAATTTTAGCCAGAGTTACGATAAAAGATACTCCTAAAAACTCAAATTAGTGATCTGTAGTGTATGAGTTCCTCCATCGTTTGATGTACATATGTACATAGATGTTTTTTTTTAAAAGCATTTGCTAAAAGTTTTGATTTAGTAAAATTTTCTATACTCTCTTCTCTTCTACCGTTTTTATGTAAAATAATGGCACTTTTCGGTTTCACTGCTTTCTATTTCACTTTCACATGCTAATCTACCTACATACATACATACTATGTACATATATTTGTATATAGTAGTATATACGCTACAAGTAATCCCTCAATTACTCGACTTTATGAATTAATACTTATTTTCACTTAATGCTAAACCACATACATATTTCGTCACCCAGCTCAATTTAGCATTATATTTAGCATTACAACAACAAGTGCAAGTTAATTATGCGACTGCTAGGGATTTGTTGACATTTCACATGGGAAATTTCTATTATAACTGCTGTTTAGGTTTCCAAATTCTCTGGCGGACAATACAAAATCCTTACACAACAATGAGTACATTATCCGACTGTGTATGTAAATAAATACGTTTTTATATACGACGCATACATATGTACATATATGTAATTTTATACTAAATCAACAACTGAAGGTTTGAACAAATACGCGTCAGCGTCGAGTTTTTGGCTTTTCACTCCTTTTCGCTCTGAATACATTCTTGTTTTTTTTTTTTCAAAAGTAATATGACATACAAATGTGCGTGTGTGTGTAGCGCAACCAAAGGCAGTTTGGGAGAAAAATGAAATAATTTCATGGAAATAGGTTCGAAGCAGTATTTTTTTTTAGATTCGGTTTGAAGGGCCTGAAATATCTAGCAAAAAAATATCTAAATTTTTTTCAGCATCTCATACATGGGCTACCGATGTCATATTCATCTAATAGACGAACTTTTAATATTCATCTAATGGACGTTTTTTAAATATTTTATAATAAAATAAATATTTTTAAACAAATAAATAGTCAATATTCATCCAAAAGATGAATTTACAATATTCATATAATAGAAATCAAATGAATATTTAAAATTCAACTTTTTGATGAAAATTCATCTTTTTGATGAAAACGCATATTTTTGATGAAAATGCATCTCTTTGATGAAAATTCCACTTTTTGATGAATACAGAAATTTTATTAATTCAAAAGTACTGTTTTTTTTAATTTGAAAATTAGTCTATTTAACGCCTACACCAGTCCATATTTTCAATTTGTAGACGTATTGCCTGCATGATGAAGAAGTGTCATCTCACCTGCAGTATTCAAAGCATGGCACACAATGTGAAAATAAACATTTTTGTGATAAAATCTAATATCTAGAGAGCGATGCAGCAAGCGAAATAAATTTAATAGTTTTTTAAAGATTCTGAGATGGAGAATTCCGCAAAAATAGCCTCGTTGGATAAAAAGAAATCCCTTAACCCTTCAAATGGCCTTCAAAAATAGGAAGTTTTAAATTTGTTCCTTTTTTTTGACCTGAAAACAGTAGGCATTGCACTTGTTAAAAAGTTTTGCCATACTTGCATCAAGGAATCCGTTTCCATGGCCACAAGAACCGAAAAACACATTTTAAATTTATTTTAAAAATGTCATTACATTAAATTACTTTTAGTTTTGAAGGTCTCATCGAATAAAAATTAACTTGACCTTGAAAACAACCTTCACAATATTTTTTTTAAGTTAAAAGCAACAATTAGTTGCCTTCTAAAAAAAAATTAAATTGTGTTTTTCGGTTCTACCGACCATGGAAATGGATTCCTTGTCGCAAGGTAGCAAAACTCTATGTTTTAATTTTTTTTTTTAATTTCATTGCACGGTTTTCAGATCAAAAACGGAAGAAAAAAGTTAAAACAATCAATTTTTGAGGGTCATTTTAAAGATGAAGGTATTTTTTGTATGAAACGAGATTATCGCCTACTTCCTGTGAAAATATTACGACAAATACTTGCTATCAAAATAAAATTCAAACATTAAGATTGCAAATTTTCAACTATTTCTTTGACTTAAAATCTTCGATTAGATGAAAAATTAAAAAATTACATTACAACGTTACAAGGCACACAATAATCTTGCCAAAACGAGAATAATTTATTTTGGAAATTTGAAAAAAATCGTCGATTCGGTGAAAAGTGCTACCAAGGTTTAGGGCTTTAAAAATTTTGAAAATATGTTTTTTTTTAGAATTTGTAAGAATTCGTCAACCCGATAAAAAATGTTTTAGAGCTTAAAATTAAAAAAAAAAAAATTGTGCCACCAAGGCTTAAGATTTTCAACTTTTCAAAGGGTTCGCTCACATAAAAATGGTAAAATTTGTTTTCGAGAATATTTAAAAATTCATCGATAAATGAAACACGTTTTTAAAGCTCAAAATCGTGAATAATTTCTACGCTTCAGCCCACTGTAATAAGAATAATTTATTTAGGAAAATTAGATTCGACTTTAAAATGTTTAGGGCGTTAAAATGTTTTAAAAGTAGGTTTAACTCTGTCTACATACAACTAGGAAATTTTTGTGACGGAATTTTTAAAAGTTCGTCAATTCGAATAAAAACATTTTTAACGATTAAAATTGTGAAAAATTGTCAGGCCTAAGCTTGCCGAAATGAGAAATTTGAAAAATTTAAAAATTCGTCTATTCGATGAAAAACGCCACTAAAGATTAGAACTTCAAGTTTAAATATGCACAAAAATGTGTTTTTCTAGAATATTAAAATTTCGCCGTTCCAATGAAACTTGTTTTTTAACGCCCAAAAAGGTGAAAACTTGTAAACACAAACTTAACGAAAACAACATGATTATTTTTTAGAGAATTTCCAAATTATTAAAAATTCGCTTACCTAAATGAATTTCAAATTTCATCGAACCGATTTATACTGCTTTAAGAGTTGTATATGACTATGCAACTTTCTAGATCGTATATTAAACTCTTTCCCCAATTTTCCAAAACACAGTACATACATACACGTATATTTTAAAATTACTATGGTGCTTATAATGTAGATATTAAGTATGCTGGATTTTACACTAGTTATCATACACTACTTAGTACATGTGGCATATATATGTACTACTTCAAAAGTAAGTATATACACCCTCTGTCTATTTTTTTTATATGTAACTTTTTCTGTATTTGGTCTGCTGCTTTAGGTAAGCTATGTAGTAGTGTTGTAGTATTGTGGATTGAAAAACAAAAAAAAAAAACAATTATCCTCAGCTATGCGAGTAGTACCTACATTTACAATACACATTTTTTTTTACATACTAAAGTTTCAAGTAAACAACTGTTTTTTGAATTGAATGCCTAAAAAAATTTATCTAAGCTCACAATTCCAAAGCTCAATTCGCGCACCAGTAGCGCTAACATCAGACACAGTGCGCTTGCGCTCACCATCGCTTGTCCGTTGTGGTCCACTTTAGGCTCTTCGCCGATTTCCAAAAATATCTTCATGCGTACATCCTGTGGCATAATGGCGCAATGGTACTCGCCTTTAGTTTTGTCCGATACTTTATCAATAATCAAATTCATGTCATTGTCCAGGTGATAGCCGAGAGCGGCATCGACGATAATCTCCCGGCCAGTGGTGATGGTATTATTGCTCTTGAACCACATTATCAAATGTTGAGATTCTTTGAGCAAGCGAAGTGTATGTGTGTATGTACATGTAGGCGGCGACGTAGTGTGAAAAAGTTGAGAAGAAAAAAAGTGACAAAGTCAAATATCGATTCTAATGAATGTTAAATACTAAATGCAAATTTGTATGAATACTCGTATCAGTGCGAATGGAATGGAAATGGTGTCGCGATTAGTAAAGGGTGTAGGCGAAGGCGGGCAAGTGGGGCGTGGGGTGTGCGTTGAAAGGAAATGAAATCGTACTTCGCATTCATATGAATGTATGGATGCACATATGTATGTACATAGATCAATCCAAGGAAAGGGTGTGTACAAAAAAGTAGGTGTGAATTTCTATAAGCAGCGAACAGAAGGTGATAGATACTCGTAGAAGCACACATGCGTTTACTGCGAAATTATAATTTACATATTTTCTTATATTCTATCAGTTAGATATATTTACTACAAATAATTAAGCCCAATGAACGTGTATGTATGTAAGTACATATGTATGCGTGAATATCGAAGTGAATGTGAATATGTATACATATAAATATTTGGATATATGGATATATGTTTAGTTATGTGTTAATGAAGCTACGCTTTATCAATGAATCATGCCATCATTCCAAAATATGTATGTACAGTGACTCAAACAACT